GAATTACAAAATTCGCGAACTTGAATGTCTAAAAGATTGACGTCATCTAAGGAATATATTCCTCGGAAATCTTCGATGTACTCGACCTGGGATCGTTTATTTGGTGGTTTTTATCGCACAATCATTTGTCGGAGAAACTTCATACAACCAATCCCCTTCGATGATTTACATGAGAATAAGAAGAAGCATCTTGATCAACGGATGTGTTGGATTAAACTATTTCGTGTTATTCTCTTCAGTCGTGTACTTACAGTCGGATGATGATCATAATGATGATGTTGATGATGGTTGTGATCATGAGGAGGAGTTTGATTTTCACGATTATGCGGATAAGGATCATGAAGTCGATCTTGATGATTACAGTGATGATGATTCTCTCGATAAAGATAATGATGACGAAGGTGAGGATAATGATGAGGATGATTCGGATGAAGATGATGATGATGATGATGATGATGATGATGATGATGATGATAACGATGATCATGTTGATCATGGTGATTATGCTTGTCCCCGTAATAATCGTTCTTTAGGGGTACAGTATGACAGCTAGCGGTTCGCCATACTGAGAGCTTACAAAAGATCTGAGATATCAGAATGAGGACAATAACGATATGTTTAGCATTTCACGAAGTTTTCAATTTAAGCAGGTCTTTCTAACCTGAGTTAATCTTTTACTTCTTCTAGTGTCCATCGTGTATTGCTATCGGTTCGAGGAATCCTCAGAACTAATGCAAACGATTATGATGTGCATCTCTTATCCCTTCATTTTGTGCGTACGGAAGTTTATCACGCGAGAACAGTAATTCAGAAAGTGGAAAGCAACTTACGACCATATCCTAAAATCAAAAAAGTTAATAATGGTAATCAATGTCATTTTACTGCCGTTTTTATACATTGAATAAAGAAATGTACAGTCTACATTCCGAAAACCGGTCCGCAGCCACACAAAGATTGGCTGGGTACATCCGAATTGGGGAAGACGGGCGACGGCGGAGCCGTTCGAACTCGGGGCTCCCAGGTGACAAGTTGGTTGGTGATCTTACCACTTGGTCATAACAGTATTTTGTGAATCCTATGAATACCAATAACACGTTTTTGAAATACAAAGTTAATGAAATGGAATTCGTATTTAAACTCCACGGTGGCAAGCCGTCTAAGGAATATATCCAAACCCTTCGATACGCGTGGACCGTTTATTTGGTGCTGTAAATTCTCCAAAAGAGAAATTGAATCTTCCAGCATTTACAGTTTCGCAATCAGCATACACATAATCCGATTAAAAATGACAACGTCCATCGGCTGTACTAGATAAAAAGTAATAGATTAACGAAATGGACCATTCAGCAACTTCGTGCAACTGTTCTGCTCTTATGTGTTCACAATTGCACGCTTCGAAATTCGTTTGACTGTAACATACCAGCACAGGACATTACGTGCCGCAACGAGCGAAATCATGATGACGATGTTGATGATGATTCGGATGATGATGATGATGATGATTATGATGATGGTGGCAATCATGTTGATGATGATAATGATGATGATTATGTTGATGATGGTGATGATGTTGATGATGATTATGATGATGGTATTGATGATGATGATTGTCCGGGTATTATTATCGCTTTTCGGTTACGTAATGACAGCTGACGTTTCGCTCTACTGAAACTGCCGATGTCACTGGGATTCCGGAACGAGGAACAGAACGACAGCTGTTGCACTTCATGAGAGAATCAATTTAAGTGTTCCTCTACACTTTGAGTGGATGTTTGCGTTCCCTTGCGCGCCCCTTGTATATTGGTACACTTTTGGTAAATTTTTAGACTGATTGTGAACGAATGCAATGTACATCACTCGTCCTTTCAATTTATGCATACGGAAGTTTGTCATGCGAGAACAATAGTTCAGAAAGTGGAAAGCAACTTATGACCACATCCTAAAATCACATAAATCGATGGTTATATTGTATTGTTTTACCTCATCTTCCATTTATTGAATATACAAAGACACAGTCAGTATTCAGACAGGGAGCCTCGGTTATTCATAGGCTCCTCGAGAAAATACAGAATTAGAGAAGATAGTTGGCGGTGGAGCGATTCACACTGAGGACTCTCTGGTCACAAGTTTGTGACCGAACCTTTTGGCTATAACAGAAATCCTTAAGGGATTCGACTACATTCGTGTTCCCTAAGAAAACCAATAACACGTGTGGTGAATTACAAAATTCGCGAACTTGAATGTCTAAAAGATTGACGTCATCTAAGGAATATAGTCCTGGATACCTACACGCATGCATCCGGATTACGTTGGTTAAAACTATAAATTTTTTTGGGGGCAGGCGAACACACTCTGCGTAGAGAAGGGAATCAATACGAAAGGTCACTAATATGAACCTGATTGAACATGGAGGCAAGGAACATAATCATTGCAGGGTGCCCCTTTTAACTGCTACGCAACCGAAGAAAAATCAAATACGAGGAAATTTCTGCATATCAATTTGTGGCTTGGGTGACAAACGGATATTCTTTGTTTTCCTTTAAAAAAATTGTACACATTTTACTCACTACATGGACCTTTATGAGGAAAATAATGAGGCATAGAATGTGAACGCATTTGGGGAAAAACAGCTACGCCAATGACCAACTAAGTAAGAGAAAGCGTGCACCTGGATTCTGTCTTTATGAACGCCAGTTATTTCTTCAAATAAGTTCCGTTTATGACATATTTATACCTGCAGAAAACGGGGTTTCAATATTTTGCATTTCAAGCGCATCAAAATCAACAATGTGGTGCTGGTATTTATTCATCAGACGTGTTTGTCCGTGTGTATTCAAGCCAAAAATGTTCACTTTAACTGAAGGTGAAGGGAAATACCATGATACAGGAGTAAATTTGTCATCATTTCACATGAAAATCATTGAGGTTTCTAGGGTTTGGCACAACCGTAGTAGCTATAAGTTTTGGGCTCACGGGTNNATCAGTGGCTTGTGATTGACTATTGCTAGTTCCTGTGACACAGAAGGATAATTCCTTTCTCTCCTCAGTTTGCATAAGGAAGCATTTCAATCACCATCTGACCCTTTAGTGGAACGATAGTATTACATGTATCCATGAATTGGATTCGAGAAACCCGGCTAACGTAACAGCCAACAAGGTTAAATTAAACGTCCA